TGAAAGTGGTTACTCTCTGGGCAGGGCTCCTGCTTCAGGATGCCCCAGTGCTCATGGTGTGTCCTAGGAGGGAGGTAGGGCACCACTGATCTTCACTCAGAGTTTGAGTAAGGTGTTTAATTAGATTTGCTAGTCTGACCTCACAGGCCATTAAAATACACCCAGCTAAGCTGATGGTGGGGCTGATAATGGGTATTTGGCATGAGCCTTTCTTCCATATGGTATCCAGTTATGGCAGGAAACACTTGAGAGACAAAGGGTCCATCACATGCCATGACAGACTGTTCCAACCATCAGTCATTCCTCCTATTAAAAATCTGTGCGTTATTTCCAATTTGAGTTTGTTTGGGTTCAGATTCCAGAAGGCAGCTCTTATGCATTTCTCTGCTTGATTAAAGAGTGCAGCAGGATCTTGTGTTTTCTCCCCCTGGAGATGCTTATATATTAATCAAGTTGACTCTCGATCTTCTTGTGATAAACTAAATAGATGAAGCACTTCAGCTCTCTCACTGCAAGATATTACCTCTAATTTTAAAGCCATTTGAAGTCCCTTTGTTTTGTACTGACCTCATAAAAATGCCAAATCACATCTATATGCAGTATTGTAACAATCATCTTCCCTGTAATACCCATTTCATCCTACATATCTCTACCTCCACCTCTAAATTTATCCAAATCTCACTAGTGCCTTTTTTGGATGCCTTGACAGTAGAAGCTCTTGATGAAAGGTGGGTCTGTTCTCATCCTCAGCCTGCTGCTCTCTGGGATCCATTTCAGCCCTCTGCAGGCAGGGCTGGCACTCCTTGCCTTCAGCAGCTTGTCTTTACCTCTGACTCTGCTGAAGCACACTGACTTTGAGTGGGCTCAGGCTTGGTAACAGTCTCTCCCCTGCCAATCTTGATACCATTCCTTTTCTTTTTGCCTGCAGATCGTTGAGAAAAAATGTGGGCAGCCATCAGACTCAGTCCTGGGCAGGCAGAACTGCCCCCATCCTCCCTGCTCAAGGATGGCTTCCTATTGACAGCCCCATCTGAGATCTGTTACTTAATCCCTTTAAGATGTGCCCTGCTGGTATTGTGCAGCACTACCTTTCTTCATCAGAGTGACATGCAAAACTAAGCTAACTGTATTAGCAACCCTATGACATCCATTCTGTCACCTTTATGAAGTGACTTGTAATCCTTTTAAAGAATGAAATAACCAGACTCACACAGTGGTGGCTATTACTACATGTCAATTTTTTATTAAGTGCATATGCTGCCAGCTTTACTGCATATGTGTATGAATGTGTGTGGCTGCCTGTGGCAATGTCTAGTTAAACAGTACTTTACAGCATCTTTTTGTGAGAAAGACTAGTCACCTGTACAAACCACAACATTTTTTTTTCCTTCTGTAGTTATTTAGGAAAGCTACAGCTGCAAATTACCTATAATTCTATCAGCTCCAAAGGCAGCAGTGTATCCAGCATCCCACTGTGTCATGCTGTTCCTAACTGCCTCTGAAAATGTTCTTCCAGTTTTAAAAAGGCCCATTATGGGGGCAAGTCATGAAATCTTTTCATACATTTCACAGTTTTCTTCACAGAAAGGAAGATCACATTCAGTCTCCACAATGTGTGTTGCTCTGTGTCAGTTGGTGTGTAGCACACAAACTGATATTTGAAAGGTGTAATAGTAAAGTTTGCAGTTGGAGAGGGATAGGAAATAGTGATGTCCAGTTATTCAGTAGAGATGGTTTCTCTAAATTAAGTATCAAATGCCCAAACAAATGGACTCTGGGGTTAGGGATGTTCACAAAGTCTTCCTCTAATGTGGAAAACTAATTTTTCCTCTGGATTCTGAAGCAAGAAGGAGGGTTTAGTGGAGGATGAATCAGAGCACACACTTAAAATACAGAATTCATGTTCCCAAAACTTTGCATCACTCCTTAACTTCCTATGTTGTGATGCGGCCCTTTCTGTTGGCAGCTTCTTGTGTGTGTCACCCTCTCAAGCACAGCAGTGCTGCAATAATGCCAGCTGTTTCTCTGGCTGCTGGGAAGTGCTGCTCCACATCACTCAGCTGTGTCTTAGTGATGTGGGGCGGCCACAAGGAAGGAGAAGCTCCTGGGATGCCCTGGGATGGATCACCTGTCTGTGCCCTGTCCCTCCACAAGTGACTCTGACCTCCCTGTCTCCAGCTGGGAGCAACTCCTGAACTGATGCAATTTAGATTAAAGAAGGTTTGCCCTGGCTTTTGGTCTCCCCCTTGATGGAAGATCAAATTGTGGGATTCTAGGAGAGGAGACCATCTTCATGCTCACCACACACTATATTTCCTCCCCACCCTTCTCCAGCTGGAACAAGACCAAATGTTGCATCTGTTCCAATGTTGAAAGTGGTTCATGCTGCCATTAGCCACATTCAGCCCCAAATTGAACCTGGCAAGCAGCTGGCATGCTCAGAGCCAGGAGGATGCTGGCAGGGGGATGTGTTTTGATGGGAAAGGCTGCTGCCTTTGAAATACAATTCTTAGAAAGAAAGAAGGTAATTCCCCACCTGAAGAAGATAAGGGCTCATCTGTTTCCTGGAAGGTGAGAGATGGATGACATGTCCTGCATGGCAGCTGGCCTGATCTCTTGTACCCTTTTATTTCTCTCAGATGATCAGTTTGCAAGGGGTTAAAATATACTAGTTCAGTTAAAGTAATAATCTCTGCTCAACCTCACTGTGCTGGAAGAGGAGGTTCTGCTGCCCTCAGCATCTTCATTATGGCAGTGAATTGCTCACGGTTCTTGACTCCTTAGTTGAATTTCATGTCTCTGGAATGGTTAAGCAGTACCCTCAATTTCTTGCTATTTAGCTTTCTTTATTAAAAAAAAAGTTGAAATTGTTAAAGAATTCAAATATATCGTGAAAGAGCTTACTTTTCTACTTCCCTTCCTGATAGCTTCTCTGCACCCTTCTAAAGGAAAAAATAAAGCAAGATTTATTAATTTAATATTTATTAATAATGCCAAAGCAGTGAGTCAAGACATCTTTATATATTTAAGGTGAAAAACTGTACGAAGTGTGGTCACAGTTCAGATACACGGGGACGTGTTCACTGCTTTTGTCCAAATCTCTGAAGAAAGCTGTTTCCCACCCCAGGTGCAGGGAAATGCTATGGCTGGAGCTGAGGTCACACAGTCAGTCAGGTGGGCTGTTAGCTCTGCCTGTGTGCCACTGCTTATAGTGAACCACTTGCCCTCACCGAGGGTGGATTTTTTGTCTGTCTGCCTGTCTGTCTTTCACAGAAATCCATCATGGCAGGATTTCCTTGTTTATTCCCACCCCAACACTCATCTCTGCCTGGATCCTGCCCACTTTCCTTCTTGGTCTGTCACCAGTGAGCAACAGGGTTAGAAATCTGTTGGCTTGAAGGCCACTGGTTCAAATTCAGACTATGCTGATATAACCAAGAAGGAAAAATTACCCTTTGGCAGATCATTCCATCAAAATGAACCTTTTATCTGCTTTCCAGTGGCACACATCAGCACACAATTAATTACAGAAAGAAATCCTGCTGGTACTGGGATGGAAGTGGGAGCCTGTGTTAGTTGGATTCAGATGGAGATTGGTGTTACATAGCCATGAGTTAATCAAAGTGCTTACAATAGAATAAGGTTTTCTGCAGTTTAGATAAACACTGGCACATCTGTGGAACCACATTTTCTGGGACTCCAGCTGGCATAATTGTTTTGGGCCAGTTTCACCACTTTGGGCCAGTCTGGTCTCGTCCTGGAGTTTCTCAGGCTAATGAGTTTATGTCTGTCAAAGAGAGTGTATGAAATATCTGTCACTGTGCAACATGGCATGTGTGAAACAGAAGAAAATCCCATAATTTCTTGGGATGTGAGTTGTGAGCATTGCTCTGAATGCTGCTTTGGCTTGACTGGTGTAGTTAAGTTAAAAAATCTGAAAATGTCGTAGGAAGTACTATGGGCTGCAGAAAGTGCTCATTTGTTTTCCATTCAGCATGTTTAGTCTCAGAGAGGACATGATGCAGCATGGGACTGAGGGAAAGTGGGATGGCCTGCCATTGAAACAAGTGTCCAGGCAGGAGTTATGGCTCCTGACACAGGCACGGGGCTCTGTGGGCATACAGGGCTTCAGCTACTGTCCAGGTTTCTGTTCTACAATGGGAATAATTTTCCCTTAGCAGGCAGAGATGTGATCAGGGGAACAAGGAGCATACAGCTATTTGAAGGAAATTATTTTAGAGACATCAGAAAAAAAACCACTTTGTGAATATACCTCCTAATTGTACTTCCCTTAATTACACATATTTTGAATACTGTCTTTGCTGTGCTGACAACCAGTGGTTATTTTCTCAGCATGTTAATGCCACTCTAATCAAAGATCTTCATCTTCTAGTCACAAACCTGTGGGTGACCTTTTCCAAGACCACATGGTCTATCAGGCAAGATGTTTGAGGCTTGTAGGTAGTTCATGTGAGGAGAAACACAGAGAGACCTTTGGATTTAGTCTACTGCTCTCAGCCAAGGTTTGTAGTGTTATATTACAGCTTGCTGCTGTATGCCCTTCTTATGTGAGTGAGAAAAGTCTGTTCTGGTTCTCAAGTACTGGTGGCTTTAATTGAGTTCAAGGTGTAACAGTTGGGTGAGCAAGAGTGAGGAGAGCTCTATTATAAATCTTCATTTTCACAAATTGCTTTTGGACACAATCTGTCAATAGAGATTTAGTTTTTAGAAATCTTCTTTTGCCAATGGAGGCGAGCTGTCACTGGGGTTTGGTTTCAGTGCTGCCACGTCAGTGAAAACCCAGGTGAACATCTCAATTTTGCAGCTGACGTTGGTAGTCCTGCTGTATGTTCCTGAGACTGGGACATTCTGTTTGGTTCCCTTTAGTGGCAGTTCAGTCTTCATTAATTAAGTGGCAAAAAATCCAAACCAAACGGAAATTAATAAGGATTGATGACTCCATTCCTAAGTTGTAAATGATTGAATGATTGCCTCCCCAGCTTTCTCCTGTGCCTCTGGTGAGTACCTGGAGATGAAGAACCAGGTGTGCAGCAAATGTGCAGAGGGAACCTACTCTCTGGGCAGTGGGATCAAGTTTGATGAGTGGGATGAGCTGCCAGCAGGATTCTCCAACGTGGCGACTTTCATGGACACGGCAGTCGGCTCATCTGAGGGGAAAGCTGACAGCTGCAACAAGTAAGGAGTTCTGTTTGCACCTGGGTTAGGCAGCTGTGGGTAAACCTGAGACAGCTCAGCAGCACAAAGCTGCTTAATGACTCATCTAAGCTCTGCAGAGCCAGCCAGCCCTGCTAATGGCAAGCAAGAGTGGCTGGGAGGTGAAATCTGTAGCCCCATCTCTTTGCTGTCAGCGTGGTCTCCTTGGGCTCATCAGCAGCCAGTGAGTTTAAGACCAGCCTGGAGCTGCTCTCATTTGTAGCTAGAAGGCTCCAGGGATCATGGTGTAGCTGAAAGGTCATTTTACAGCCTATTTAGAGACCTGTGGTGCTTGCAGAAGGCTGTTTCTGAGTGTAATTGGAGGTATATTGAATGTGTGGATAATAAACCTTTCTTATGTAGGCCGAGTCCTAAATTTTTTGCACCATATCTTTTCCCATGCACAGTTTTAATGGAAAGTATTATATTTAATATTATTCACGTGACATACAAAAATAGATACAAAATGAAATTGTTATATTTATTATATCTGAAAAATAAATGGAGATCCTGTAATAAATTTTAAAATTCCCTGCAGTTAGCTGTTGTGGGATTCTAGAGTCTTTATTATGTAATAAATTTTTGTATAGTAGTGTACAAAGTCTGCTCAGTATCTGTGATCTCAATTGAGGCTTGTTTTGTTTATGTTCATCAGCTCTTCATGGACACCTCGAGGGAATTACATTGAGTCAAACAGGGATGATTGTACAGTTTCTCTCATCTATGCTGTGCACCTGAAGAAATCCGGCTCTGTCTTCTTTGAATACCAGTATATTGACAACAACATCTTCTTTGAATTTTTTGTAAGGCCTTTTATTGGTGAATCCAACCTTATATTTTAAGAATTCAACCCAGATAAAGATCATTAGCAGCAGCTTTCCCCCTTTTAAGTTCCCTGCATGCCCATAGCTTGTTTTGCTGAACAAGATGAAAAAAATCTGCTTCTCTTTCTGTTATTTGTACTGTCTTGTGGCATTTATTGAATCTTCAAAACTCGGTCTGAACTGATTCTGTCTGCCATGCATTGGGATTTTTCCATTAGGGTTCATGACTGCCCTAGTTAGTCCAGCCTTTTGCAAGACAGGTATTCGTGGTAGATGCTCCCATTTAGAGGTGTCTGACTGGAGATGTCTTTGAAGGGATTTGACATTTAAAAAGACTTCTTCCAAAGCAATAGTATGTGGAAACCTTTAGTTTTAGGTCAATTTGTGTCCTAGTAATTTAGTAATTAAGATGAAAAGAAAAGCAAGAGAAATTCAGGTGACTTTCAGTAGGAATTAGTCTCTGAGGATGTGTCTGTGCTGTGAAATGGAGGGGCTGGGGACCATTAGCTCTGGCATGGGAACAGCCTGGCTGGGCTTGCACCATGGTGTGCTCAAAGTGCTCAAACAGTTTGGTCAGTGACCAGAAGGGGGAAGGCAACCCTGCCCTGCCCACCTGGATGGATTGGTTGCTGTCCAGTGAGCTGGAGGGTCCCTAGCACCAGGATTTGCAGTGGGGCATAAATGTCCCACATTACTGAGGTGCTTTGGAAGGTTCCACTGCCCTTGTCATGTTGTATCTGCCATTTGGGACAGAAAAAAATGAGAGAGTGACTCTCTGGGAGAGTGACTCAGAGAGGCAGATGACTGGAAATGTTCAGTCTCCTCTGTTATGGCCCCTGTGTCTGTCTGACAAGCTCTGTTTTTCATCAGAAAACACAGCTCATGGCACCTCACAGGAGTGAGAAGTCTTAGCTGGTGTTGGTTAATACTTCTTGAAGTTTGGGAAAAAGTGCAAAGTATCTTTATCTGAGCTGGGAAAGGAAGATAAAAATTACTTGTTGGAGGCACCTTCATGGTGCTACATCAGTGTGACAGATTGCTATGCACTTTGATAACAGACCATGCAGGCAATGCTATTTAGCCATTTCTGTTTTGTATTAGACTATCCTGCCTTCTTCATGGGAAGAAAGCAGCAACTATGCTTTCTGCTGTCAGGTGAATGTGCCAGGATTATGAATCCCAGCTCCAGTTGCTTGACTGACTGGCAGATCTGCTCCTGCAATAGAGCAAATATATTGTTTCTCTGAGCACTGGCTTTGAAAATGGCTTCTTGATTATTGCTTTTGTCCATATCCCACTCACTTGCCTTCTCTGAATTTATCATTCCCTGTTCAAGAAGCAATGAGTGGTGCAGTCCTTTATAGAAATGCCCATAAATTCTTAGTCAGCCTCGGTATTTCAGGGAAACCATATTTAATGCTCCTGTAAAAGTCAATTTTTTTTCCCCTCCAGCATGCCTTTGTGCTTAAATATATTTAACAATGACACTTTAGCTCTGGACAGTGGCATTTCAGCAGCAGTGGCAGGTTACTGGGAAATGGTGAGGTGTTTGATCTGCCCTTTCTTAGCTCTATTTATGTATTGAAGCCCTTTACACCTGATGAGAAGAGGCTGGATGTTCTTACCTCCTCTTTGCAGGTGGGAACCAAGACCCAAGGGTGCTGTAGCTCAGGTTGCACAAGATAATTTGGGATCTGCCTTCTACACTGGTGCCTCTTTTCCTCAGTGCAGTTGGTCTAGGTGGGAATTCAGTGTACAGATGCTTCGGAGGATGCGGGGTTGTGCAACTTATTTCAGACTGGATGTGGAGCAAGTTGAAGGAGGATCCTTGACTCCAGGTCAAGTATCTGAAAATGTTGTAGTGGCCTTTCTCCCTGGTGTAATAAAAGCTGAGTATGTGATCTCGTGCCTCAAAGGGACTTCATAGTTTTTCATCTGAGAAGTCAGGCATAAGAATAAAGAAGTGCACCAAACCCTGCTGTAAGGAAATGCTTCTGAGCTGTGCTGGACCTGGACAAGGGACTGCCAACCTTACACTTCTGCCAGGACAGACTCTCCATGGCATGTTGCCTTTCCCTTGATAGCATTACTGTCATCCCTAGGTCAGGTGGCAGCAGGCCAAAGACAAAGCATATATGGCTGTAGAGAAAACATTTTGTCTTCCAGCTTCAGCCCATCCACTCCTGCTTCCCTATGCCTTGGAAGCCTCTGGATTTTAGGCAATTATGTCTTGATACACTCAGGAGAAGGAGGAAGCAGCAAGACAAGATGCTCAGCATCCTTGTCTGACCATATAATGTGGAATCTTCTCATTTTGCTCTTTTTTTACCATCTGAGTCAGAGGGGGCCAGTGGAGGAATTGTTAAGCTGTAGCAGATGTTGAAAGTTGGGGGTTTATATTGCCAGAAGTAAGGCATCTGTCTAAATATGTAGGTAAGAGGAACAGAGCTGAATCTTATAGTTCCCAGAAGTCATTCTGCAGACAGAGAGATGCACCTGATTGTGGTCACTCATCTTGTGTTTTTATTAACAGATACAAAATGACCAGTGCAAAGAAATGGAGTCCACGGCAAACAAATGGGTGAAGCTCACAGACAATGGGGAATGGGGCTCTCATTCTGTAAGTGTATGAAAAATTCCTTCATGAAGTTTTTTTCCATTTATTTCCTTTAATTTTGTGTGTTTAGATGGGCCAGCTCTTGTGAATGCATTTGAAGAAGCTGAGCTTTTCTAGTACTGAGGGGAAAAGTCATGGAGATCCCTCAGGGGCTGATCCCAAAGGAAATTATATAGATGCAAGACTTTGTATTGATTTCCCTGGGCTTTGAATCAAGTGTTTTATGAGGTTAAATAGATTTATGCGAATCTGCATGCCACAATCACTTTGCATGATTGTAATTGAAATCTTGTACAACAGTTGTTTGCTCATGAGAAAACAATATTATTCCCTGTTCTTGGCAGAGCAGTGGGAGTGGGGTGTGTGGAGACAAGCAGGACGGGCATTTTATTCTCAAGTGTGTACAGAAGAGCTGGACTGCAGCTTCTGCTCCTTGGGGGCTTATGTGAAAATCCAGCTGGCAGCACTAGGGTGGCTCCTGCAGCATGGATATGATCCTGTTGGATCATATATGTACCCCATGTTGGGGTAGGAGTCCTTTGGCTGGCCCATGACCCAGCTGGCTGAGTTTGCTCTGTGAATGGATCATGTGCAGATCAGCTCATCAGCTGAGGCCTGGCTTCCTCTATACCATCACACCCTTGTCCCCAGAGCCATCTCAGAAAAGGCCCAGCACAGGTGACATTATGCCAGAAGAAAAAGGCTTTTGTGGGCATAGGCAGCAGCATACTCTCCGTTTTCCATGCCTGCTTATCCTCCTGGAGGAGAAACTGTATTCCTGAGTTGGAGTGCCTGTTAGCTCAGGGTCAAAACCAGTGCAGGTTACACTGGGAGGTTGGAAAGCTGGCTGAGGAGGGATGAGTGGCATGAGCTGAGAGGTAGATCCAAGGCCAGGGCATTGACTTGGGTGAGCTGAGGGATGTGGGCAGTCTGCATGGGAGATGGTGCCATCTGAGCTCGTCATCTGGGGTGTGCAAGTGTTCTCACTGTCCATGAAAATTGTTGGGATGCCTGGTTGAAATGTAGACATATGAGCTAGGTGAGATGATGATTCTGGCTGTCCTGAAGGGCTTTTTCTGCACTGCAAATCCTGTCGAGGTGTCTTCTGTGTGCACAATTTTCCAGGTGCTGCAGTCTCTGCTCTCAGCAGGTGAGTCCTGCTGCACTGGGGCTGGTGTTGGGTACCTCACCTCACACAACCTGATGTTTCAATATGGTCTCAGTTCCCCTGTTACACATGGTACTCAGCTCTCCTCTGCCCCTATGGGTAGGAGATATTTGGGTGTGGGAGATACAATATGCTGTATTTCCACTTTGCTAAATTTTTAAACTCTTTATCCTGGGTGAATAGAAACTGTGGTCCTGTCAGGCCTAAACAGCACTGCTGTAAATCACATTATCCTGGACCCTTATGCTGGTAGAGTTTATCCCTCTTCTTGTGTGAAAATACAGCACTTTCAGGCCATTATCCTGCTGTTGGCAGTAAACATCTTGTACTGGGCTAGTGGATATGGAACAGCTTTGCAGGCCAGGCAGGGGCTTGGTGAACCTGCTGCTTTTAGTGATGAGAGTGAAACTGTAGTTACACAAGTGAGTTGAAGGCAGAAGGCACCAAAACTGCTGCTGAAGGAGTTTTCCTACCTTCCTACTGCCCCTTACCTCAGCTATGATGCCACCAACCCACCACCCTTCCACAGGGGTTGTGCAGCCACTTGCTGAACCACACCATGAGAACAAGTGAGTCAGGGCAGTCAGAAACCAGATTGTGTTCTGCATCTCATCTGCTGTTTGTGGTCAGAAGTGAGCAGGAGGGATGAGACTGCTGCTGGGGACAGCCATGACTTGTGCTTGCCACGATACTGTAGTGTTACATGCAGGCAGAGCTTGATTTTTAAAGCCTATAAACAAAACTCACTTGTGAACTGGATTTTTGAATTCTGGGTCATGTCGAGTTTCTTTATCAAAGTGTATTTCAAGGCTTCAAAAGCAAACTGATTGACTATATCTCAACATAAGGCTGGAGATAAAAGCTTTTGAGTGCCAGGGGTAATTGGATAAAGGCAGGAACAGCTTTTTCCAAATTCTGCTTACAACAAGGTCAGAAACAGCTCTTGGTAATTTTCCAACTGGGGTGTTGAGAAACGTTTTTATAAAGCACACTTTGGCACTCTTCAGATATGTCTGTACAGCATCTGTCTGTTGTTTCACCATTACCTCTTGACCCACTAAACAGCATAGCAAAAGCTGCTAGGCTGCAAGAAATTGGAATAATTGAAGTAGGAAATAAAACAATGTCTTGGCAAGGGCATATCTGCTAACTCACGTGTGTTGTTGCAGGTAACTCTGCAATCAGGTAGCAATATATTATACTGGAGAACAACAGGGATTCTCATGGGCTCCAAAGTTGTAAAACCAGTTTTAGTGAAGAACATCACAATTGAAGGTAAGTAGAATTTGTCTTTGAGGTTGTATATCACTCTTTTGTCACAATGTTTGCCAAGTGCTATTTCTACTGCTGTGCCTACAGCACTGAAGTGGCTTTTTTTAGCCCCTTGCCCCTGTCTCCTTCTCTGAAGTGTAGAAACAGAGCAGCAAAACTTCAGTGAGGAAAAGGCTGAAAAATTAGTTTATCTGGTAAATGTTGCCATCTACTGGGAAAACTGGATTAGCAAATAGAGAAAGAAAGGAATAATTAGATTTTCTTTATTGTAGTATAGAAAGACCGTGGTTCTTGGTAAGCCTCTCAACAGTGATAAATTGATATATATCATAACAGTGACAGTTGAATTAATATTCAAATGATCTGTTTTATCTGGAATTGTTCTTTTGGTCCCGGTCTAAGTGTAATAAAACTGGGAGTGTCATATAAGTTTCTTAGATGGGTCAGACTTTCATTGAGGTATAAAGACCTGAATTGTGAGTCAGCAAAGCCAAAGTGTCTTAAGTGAGTGGTGAAAATGAGTGTGATTTTTATGCTGTTTTGTACAGCTGGTTTGCTCTCAGCCATAAGCCCAGGTAGGCAGCAGTTACAGATGTGTCTCTTTCAGTGCTTTACCCAGAATTTTTCTTACAGGAGTTGCGTACACGTCTGAATGCTTCGCGTGCAAGCCTGGTACCTTCAGTGACAAACCAGGTGCATCCGGCTGCCAGGTGTGCCCACGAGACACTTATTCTGAGAAAGGGGCTAAAGAGTGCACCAAGTGTAAAGAGGATATGTACTATGCAGGTACATAAACCAAATGGGATAAGCAAAAGCAGGAAGGTCTGAGTACGTGCAGTCCAGTGTGTTTCAGATGTGAGAGTGGTTGTATCCAGCAATGATAGTCTCCAGTTGATATGTAAAGGGGAAATGCATGACTTCCCAAAATATGCAGAGGGCACATAGATACATAATGGGCCACAGTCAAACGTTGTTCGTGTCATCAGTGTTAACGTGGAGGGATGGAGGCCTTTATGACCTGGGAGGGGATAGATCTTCTGAAGGATAGAACAGTCGTGCTGTGCCCTCTCCTGGTAATTCGTGTTATAGGTTGGCGATGATACGAATTTGCTTCATCACTGCCTTCAGCCTTAACACGTTCTGAGGAATATCCTTTCCTGGTTGTAAAATGTAGTGATCTAGTTGCAAAACCTAGTCCCAAAGTCCTCTGCATTTCCAGCTGTGGTTAGGTGGTGATCTTCAAATAACATGGTCCTAATCTATTCCTCATAGTCAAAAGATCTTCAGATTTCTTCCTTGTAGTAGTTTTAGAAAGTTCTTGAAGAATCAGTTACTGACCAGCACCTGCTGTCACTGATGGTTGCAAATGCTTGGGGACCTGTGCCTGTGCCTGCAGTGGGAATGGAAATACCACAAAATTATCTGACAAGAGGAAAAATTGGGCCAGTGTTGTAAGGAAGTTTCTACAGGGTTAGAGTGGTTTTGTTCCTTATCGAGTGAGAAAATATTCCCATGTTTTGTAAATTGTATAAATTTCTATTTGAAGGGGTGAGGGTTTGAGGGACTCACAGCATGGTTTGGGTTGGAAAGGATCTTAAAGACCATCTCATTCCAACCCCTGTGCCACGGGCAGGGAATTTTCCACCAGACCAGTTTGCTCAAAGTCCCATCCAACCAGGCCTTGGTTGTTTCCAGGGATGAGAAATTCACAGCTCTTCTGAGTGACCTGTTTCAGTGTCTCATCTTTAGAGTAAAACACTTCTTCTAATAATTGTCCTTGTGTATACTGAATCAGTGAATTTTGGTGTGACAGTATAAGCACAGCTAGTATGTTCCCTGTTCCACTGCTTCATTTCAGGGGAAGCTTCCTGCAGACTCCATTAAGAGCTTGATTTTTCATTTTCATTTTATAATTTTCTGCTGGCTCATTTTAACCTCCAGATTTCAAGCTTGTTATGTTTGTTTCCAGGGACCATTTGATAGTTTAATATCCTGTTTCTCACCTTTTCTTTTAGAGGAGGGATCCAGTGCATGCATAGAACGACCTCCATGCACAAGCAAAGACTTTTTCCAGATCCATACCCCATGTGATAAGGAGGGGAAAGTAAGTAGGCATGATACTATTTTTAAGCTTGCTGACCTTATTGCTATCTCTGCATTTGAAAACAAGCTAGTTCTTTTTAGGAATCTGTTTCCCAATTACTTTCCCAATTTTGATTCCAGTATTGAATCTGTGGCTTTGGGCTTGTCCTTTGCCTGCCCTCTCTGCAGCCTATTTCCCTCTGTAAGAATCTGCCAGATATGGGTCTGCTTAAGGGATGTGTTTTGGTGAGATGATGAGCTCCTTGCACTTGTGATGGGTCTATGGAGATACCAGGGCTACTTCCATACTTCCATGCTGCTGGAACACAGAGTGAAGTACTGTCCCAGCATAAACCCATCTCTTTAGTTATTAATAATCTTTCTGGCATACCTTATCTGGTGACGACTATCCCAGCAGCACCCAGGCATAATTCGTGGCTCAGGAGCATTGGATATGACCATCTCTGTTTCAGGTGGAGGAGTGTTTGGCTGCACAGGTATGATGTATGTCATGCCCCTTAGTTTTAGCATCAAAGAAGAGCCTGTGGTCTGGTAAAATAATGGTATATTCATAGCCTTGAGCGTTCATATGCAGCAGCTCAGCTGCTGGTAATATGCTTGTCCCTCAAATCACCCGGACTCTTGGGACATTGTTTCACCCAGAGACCTTAGATTCACTTGGTCTCTCATAGAGGGACCTGCTGGTGGAGTAGCCTGGCTTTGTCCTAGCAGTCAAGTGGAATTTTTGGAGGAATTTGGAGAAGAAACTGCAGTTTATTACTATAGGAAGCTCACAGAGATGTGGACACGTGGTCAGGACTGTTTCATCTCTTTCCTTTCCCATCTCTCTTAGATCCCATCTCTCAGATGGAATTGCAGATAGATTCTCTAACACTTGCATGTTGCTGGTCTAATATTTGCTGGCAGGATTGAGTATTTTGGAGTCTCCTGATCAGTGAGTGCTAAAATGCAGCTAAGAGCTCGTATGCTTTGGTAACGAAGCACTAGTGGTTTTAGCCCCAGAGCTGTCAGACTCTGTAACTGGTCTTGTCTCACTGATTTCTGCTCTGTTGACTGTCTCTAATGACTCAAGAAATTAGCAGCAGTGTTCAGGGCTACACCCCCAGGTACAGCTTTAATTGCAGCCTCCTGAGAATTGTTCTGTCATTTCTCTGTGTGGTCCCTGACACTGAAAAAGTTCCTGTTATTTCACTCTTTTCCTGCCTGTTCACTGGCCTTCCCCTTCACTGATGGACATGACTGGAATGCAAAGTGGATTTTTCTGCAGACACCCTTCAATGTCCAGTTGCAATGACAGCAGCAAATGTCACAGGCACACACATACTGGCTGAGTTTTCAGGACTGGTTTCACTGCTCTGCACATCTGAAAATTGGTTCAGGATTGCTGTACTCCCCAGCCATCTCCATGTGGTGCAGCTCAATGAGAGGGCCTGACTGCAGGTCATCTACAGGGGAACAGCGGCTGGAAAGGACGAGCCTATTGATCCAAGGTTGCTAAAATAAGCCAGATGTTCACTGAACAATAGATTGTTGTCTCCCTTCTGCTGTCCACTCCGTGTGTAGAAGGAGATTGATGCACTTTACTCTTGACTTTTCATCTACCTGCTGAATTAAAAATCCCAAGTTGAATGCTTCAGCCCCAGTCTCAGAACCCCTCCCCACATGGCCACAAGCCCCCTCTGACCCTCTTCTCCCTGCTCAGATGCAGCAGCATTCCTGTGGTGTGTAGTGTGTCTGGGTTCTGGGCAGCCACACGGGTGCTTTGCCAGCTCCTGACCCTTTTTATTTTGAGCGCTGTGCACCTTGATGCTGCTGAAGCATTTCTGGGGTGATTTTCCAGAAAATCCTCCAAGTGTTCAGGAGCAGCAAGGACAGGCTGATCCATAGGAGGAGGTGCCACTGGCAGCAGGAGCAGTCTCTCAGTGCTTGAGCAGAACAGGCAAAGCAGACCCTGTGCCAATGACCAGATTCAACCAAGGTGGCCAGACAAGTCCATGGAAATAAGGCACAACCAGTGTCAGGCTGGGACATTGTGTCCATGGGTCAGCCAGGGAAAATGACCTGGCACAGGCAGGGATGGAGAGAGGGAGCCTCAGCTTAGTGGGAGCTCCCAGGAGCCAGGGCCCGAGTCTGAACTGAGGCTTCTTCCAGCTTATTCTTTGAAACTATTTCAAGAAGGATCAACACTTCTTCAAGTGCTCTGTGTTACCAGAGGGCTAACCCTGAGTGCCAGGAGCTCAGTGCCCAGGGTGCCCAGGATAAAATTCTTAAGGTGAAATCTCCCTTACCTGAGTCTCTGGCTCAAAGATCCCTGATTGCTGGGACCAAAGGGTGGAAGTAGCCAGAGTAGAAACTGTGGGCAGGTTAAACTCTTCCCATCTGGGTTTCTCAGCTGTGGTACTCAGCTAAGTTTCATCTTGAGACATAAAACCTTTTCAGAGAGAGACACAAAGTCAGATGAAATTTGAAACACAACTTTGTGGATAATGCATCTCACCCAATCTTCTCCTGAAGACAGAAACTTGTGTCCTCAAAGGGGGTGGTGAGGAAGAGGTGACACTTGTATATGGTAACACCATGGACTGACTCGTGTTTGTGTTCATAAACTGCTCCTTGTGTGATGACAAGGGTTTGGAGGGGCTTGGGGAGAGCTCCTGCATGGTTTTGACATTTTCTCAATAAGTGAAAGATGACAGGAGAGAAATTGGGGACTTTTCAAAGAACAGGCCAGCATGAATTAAAAATGCTGAACTTGTAGTTCTCTCTGCTAACAGATGCCTTCCCAATAAAGGGCTTTTATATGGCAGAAGTTATGTTTTGTGTTACTGTAGTTAAAATGCAGAGATTGTATATCCAGTAAGAATTATTTATCTGATGTTCCTCATAACCATTTGCATGGGGAAATTTACTAATTAATGAATGAACAGTAATACTTGTTTCAAGCTTCACATTTTTGTTTCGTTCCTTAAGTGTGCTGTCTTGGAATCTCCTGTGAAGCCAATCACTTCTGTTACCCTTACCCTCCTTTCCCTTTATTGTCCTGGATGTGCAAGGTCTGTTTTTGGCCTTAAATGATGGGAATACCCTAATTTAGTTTACAAGGGGTGCATTGATTGGTACATCTAGTCCTAAAACTTCATAGTTCACCGTGTGAGCTCAGTGTCTCCTCCTTCCAGACTCAGATCATGTACAAGTGGATTGAACCCAAGATCTGCAGAGAGGATCTCCCTGATGCATTGACCCTACCTCCTTCTGGAGAGAGGCAGGACTGTCCACCCTGCAATCCTGGCTTTTACAACAACGCCTCATCTTCCTGCACTCCCTGCCCACCAGGCACATTTTCAGATGGGACACAAGGTAGGAGTCTGCAATAAAATTTCATGTGCCTCCAAAAGCAGTCATCTGCTTCCATGTGACAGTTTAGTGACACATCATCATAAGCCAGTGTTCATTCTGTGTTAAATACTTGTTAAATAACATTGGAGAGCAGGATGTGGATATCTGTTTTGTCTCCTGAGTCCTTTCTTATCAGGGATTGCTGCTCTAAGTTGACCTGCTGTGTTCTGGATGCATTTCTTGGCTGATATAAACATCCTGAGAGCTATTTTAAGGGGTTCTGAGAGGGGAATCAGAACTTTTACAGTCAGCAATTCCTCCTCAACCATCTTCCTGTCCATGCCAAATTCTTTCCTGTGAAAACTTAATTTTAAGCCCAGCTAGATGAACACCCTGCCAACATTGTCTAACCTAAACTCTGGCTTGTTGATTCTGAGATGCATTGGCTCAATTGTCCCCTGCAGCATTTTGTGGGATCTCTTGTTTATCAGACCTTCAGCTGAATCTATTAAAAAGTAAGTGTGATTTGGGAGACCAGTTGCAGATTACTTAACACAACGTTATGATCTACAATTTACAAAATGCTGGTCTCACTTCCACTCTCCTGGTCCTTATAAGTCTTTGACTGTTTAACTACAAAGAAATAAATTATTTTCTTTGCGTATTACTTGCACCAGTGAGTAAAAAAGCAGTATCTATGTTCTTCAAAACACTAATTGACATGTGCCTTGGCTGTATAATATCCTTTTCTGCCCTCTCATCCCTAGAGTGCAAAGCCTGCCCTGCTGGGACTGAACCAGTTCTTGGGTTTGAATACAAGTGGTGGAACATCCTGCCAGGAAACATGAAGACATCCTGCTTTAACGTTGGCAACTCCAAGTGTGATGGGATGAATGGTGAGCCAAACTCCCTGTGTTGTTTGCCTGTCTCCTGCATGGATCCCTGTTGTAATGGAGCCCCCATCAAAATGAGTGTGCTCTTGGCTGCATGACTCACAGCACAGTTTCCTCCCTTTCCTTTAGTTGCACCAGGCTTGAAATTTCCTGTGGGAAGCAATGTCACATTATCACAAAGAAATAAAAGATCTGTTGTACACCACAAGAGGGCAGGAGCTGCAGCCTATGTGAAATTCCCTCAGCAAAGAGCTATCCCACTACTGGCTTTAATGCATCTTCAGATGCATTCATAACCCCATTGAAAAAAGCATTGCTTTATCTTCTCCCTAGTTTATCTCATTTTCTGTTTTGTATAGCTATGCCAAATTGAGGTCACACATAATTCTTTTGGAAAACTTAATTACGGTCTGTAATTTTATTCCTTTAGTGCTCAGAGCTTCTTTCTGCACATGTGCTGAAATTGCAGCAGAGAGCAGTCACAGCTCACTGGTGAAAATGATCCTGTTTGGGACTTCTCCAGCCTTCTCTGACAGATTTTCCTCTGTCTGATCCACCCTGTCAGACTGGTGTAACTCAAGCTTTATGTTATGCTTGTTGAGCAGAGGGGAACTGAACTATGTGCTTAACATTTAACGTGCAGATTCACTGATTCATCTGTTTTAAGGCTGAAAGATATCAGATGGATCATCCCCCTTCAGCTGCACAGCACAGGTCAGGGAATATCAATTGCTTTGTGATTTCAAAGGTGGCAATTGCCTCTAAAATCAGCAGTTCATACAATTGCTAAAAATTCTTCATTCAAAAGCATCGTGATATTGTTCTGTAGTTTATATCAGGCATCTTTAAAATACACTGAAATACTGAATTGTTTAAAAATTATGGTAACATAGATTTCCTTTGCCACCCATTTATTGAATTTTTTTTCTTTGTTCTGTGAAGGTTGGGAGGTGGCTGGTGATCACATCCAGAGTGGGGCAGGAGGCTCTGACAATGACTATCTTATCTTGAGCCTGAACATCCCAGGATTTAAGTAAGGAATGGGGTATTTTTTCATCTATTTCTTAGTTATTTCTGGCTCTTATACCCCTTTCACACTATCCCAGGGACGATCTGAGTCTTTCTTTCTAAAGTGGAATAATGTGATTTATGAGAGAAATCTTGAATTTTATTCCCATATCTCCAGTTTGTCCATTGAGGAAGGCAAGTGTGTGAGACCTTGGTTTTTAGCAGTATTTGTGTCAGTCCAAGATACAGCCAGTTGGCTGTCTGGAAACTGAGAAAAGATGTTTCTGTCCCTCTCTTTCTAAATTATTCCACAGTAACCAGCTGAAGCTGCCATGGGGTGGATACTGGAGCCTGCCCTGAAAGTTTTTTAGTGAAACCCAAGTTACTTTGCCCTGTGGCTCCAGGCAGTCTCCACAGTCCATGCTTCCCTTGGAGCCAACAGGCACACACTGCAGGAGAATGGGAATCCCACCACTCCTGAACCCCCAGACAGGCTGAAATAACTGCTTGAGGTGCTTGTGTCTCTGTCAAAAGAGTGAGCTGAGACTCCTAGCTCAGACAAGGTTCCAAATGTTGAGACCAGTAAGGTTTGGAAGAGGAACCTCACCCTTCCTTTGCTGTTTTTCAGCTGAGGTAGATGCAATTACATTGGTATAAATCACTTGAAGTATGTAATGTGGTTTAATAATAAGGTTCCCTACCAATATGGCCATATTTGGGTGTTCATTATAAGGGAAGAACTGTACCATAAAGAACTTAGACCCTTAAAAAATGACCCTGCTGCACCCCATACTCAGTGCACAGGCTCCTGCCATTCTGCAAGGACAGGTTTTCTGTGACAGACTTTAATGGCTTCACTGTACAAAAAGGACTTTGGAGGATTGACTGCTGCCTGTCTGGAGAGCACTGTGTAAATATTTTGTTCCTTCTCTGTTAAACAGACCTCCAACATCAGTGACAGGAGCAACTGGGTCAGAACTTGGACGGATTACTTTTATTTTTGAGACCATCTGTTCAGCAGATTGTGTGCTGTACTTTATGGCAGTAAGTGAGACCTCTTTCTCCATGACTGAGGACTGAGGCTCAGTCCTAAAGTGACTGTGTATTCCACATGTCACTTTAATACCTCTGCACAGGTGTGATTAGTTGCACTTGGTTTATTATGATTAAGCATGGCATTAGTTTAGTATCTGCAATGCCCTTGCAGGAAGGATTTAATGAATGACCTAGTGAAATTCCTCCAACACGTGAGTTGTGAACCATTTGTGGCTATCAGCTTATTCTAAAAGTAATCATTGGACACTAAGGAGCCAATTTTTCCCCTGTTAAACTGACTGATGAAGTTATCAGTCTCTCTTGTGCTATTGAGTTAGCATCTGGTAACAGAATGACAAGTCAAGACAAGTAAAGATGTGGGACAGAGGGATGGGAAGAGGACAGCTTGGAAATTTAGACTTGATCTTGTCAATGACCTGGAGGATCAGTAGGGCAGCAGACAATGGAACGATGTTTGTTTGAATGTCCATTAGCTGAGGAAGGCAAATGGATCTGCAGTGGCTCCCTTGCCCCTTCCATTGAAAGGGGAAGCCAGTTCTTTTTTGTGTTTAGTGGCTCTTTGAAGGAGCTTGCTCTTAATTTGAAGAGAATTGAGTGGAAATTAGGTGGCAATTTAGAAGAGCCTGAAAATTTGTCAGTTGTGCAAAACAAAATAAGAATGTTTGCTTTATTAAATGTTAAGTGCAGTTGTGGAGTCCTTTTTATATGCTAATCTCTACATCATAAAACATTGGTGATTAGTATGACCACATGTTTCGCTGTTCCTTTTTAAAAAAAATATTCCCATTTTTGTAGGATGTTAATCGAAAAAATACCAATGTGGTGGAATCATGGGAAAGAAGTAAAGAAAGACAATCCTACACTCACATCATCTCCAAAAATGCTTCCTTCACATTCACCTGGGCCTTTCAGAGAATAAATGAGGGCCAAGATGTAAGTACTTCTTTATGTGTGGGGCTTTATAACACAGCATTCCTTGGACACTCACTGCCAGAACTCTAGCCCTCTGTTGAAGCTCGCAGGTTTCTCACAAGGGGCGAGTGGCTCTCACCACAAAGCAGCCCCTGGGAGGCAGCTGTGCACAAACCACAGGAAGGACAGAGCTATGGATTAGCTGCTCCCTGAATTGGTGCACGGAGATGTGGGTGGTGACAGCGGGGTGCTTTCCCTGGCTCTCGTTCCAGAGCAGGCAGTTCATCAATGACATGGCCAAGATCTACTCCATCACGGTGACCAACGCAGTGGATGGAGTGGCCTCTTCCTGCCGGGCCTGTGCCCTGGGCTCCCAGCAGTCGGGCTCGTCCTGCGTGCCCTGCCCGCCTGGACACTACATCGAGAAGGAGACCAGCCAGTGCAAGGAGTGTCCGGCCAACACCTTCCTGTCCATCCACCAGGTGTACGGCAGGGAGGCCTGCATCCCGTGTGGGCCTGGCAGCAAGAGCACCAAGGTAGCCAGCCCGGGTGTTTCTGGGTGATGGGCAGACTGTGTGTGTCGGGCTGGAGCTGTTGGGCTGAACTCTGAGCTCTCAGGGGGCTGCTTCTAGTGCTGTCCTACAGGCGTGTGCCTTGTGAGCCCTGCAGTATAGCCATAACCAGTTAGCCCACCAAAGATGTCACTAGCCTAATTCCTCTTTGCAAATAATCGGATAAAAGTGGCAACATCAGCTCAAAAAAAAGTTCATTTCGAGAAGCTGTATTGTAGGCAGTGTACAAATAAGGCAAATATCTACGTTACTTCCACCAAAACTATCCCAGATGCCTGATCTTTTAAACTTAGGGACTTCTTCAGCTGATTGATGTTCTTGGACCTTTAGAAACCTGTAACAAGTTTCTCTTACATGAAACTGCAAGAAAAAGTAAACATTTATCCTGTTCAAGGAGCTGCACAGGTAGTAGAAAAACAGCTCCAGTTTATTTGTATTCTGCCTGTCTTCAGCTGTGCTCATATCCTGCCCTTATTTCTTGAGCTGTTTCTTGTGTTTCCTTTACAAAATGTGAGTGTAACCAAGGCCCTGTTTTAGTTTGTTTACAGGGCTTTAAGCTGGAACATTGGGATCCTAAAAGCACCCAGAACAAAACAAAGCAAGAAATTGCATTCTCTTGGCTAATGCAGCAGACAACAGAAAAACCAGGCTTAGGGAGCATTTTAGTCCTGATATGTGATTGCAAGGGACTGAAAGGGGAATGGGAATTATCCCGAGGGGAAGATCAGTTGCAGGAGTAGGACAGAGTTCCCCTTCATCCTTAACAAGGAAGGCAGTCCTGTCTGCACCCATGCTTTAACTCTGAAGTGAATTGCTGCTATTCCATAACTGCTCTTGAATGGATGCCTCTGCCTTGCAGGACCACTCTGCCTGCTTCAGTGACTGCCTGGTGTCCTATGTCAAGGATAACCAGAGCCTGAATTACAATTTTAGCAACCTCAGCCAGGTGGGTTCATTGATGAGTGGACCTAGCTTCACTTCCCGAGGGACCAAGTTCTTCCACTTCTTTAACATCAGCCTGTGTGGGAATGAGGTGAGCTCAGCTGGGGTTGAGGGTTGGGAGGATGAACCAATTTGTTGCTTGTGTTGATGCTCTGGGGTATCACTGACACAGGACAAAGACTCCCTTTCAGCTGAGTTGCCACCAATACTGTGCAAACACTTCCCTTTGGATTTTGCTTTGCCGTGCAAGAGGACTTTTGAGCAGCCAAGTGATTTTCCAGGGCAGAGATACTGTGTTGCAGGCCATAAATAAAGCTCAGAAGAAAATTCCTGTCACATCCCTGCTTTTTCTTTCTTGTGCCTTTAAGTCACTTGCATCACAGCCCTGACCTTTGTGTGCTGCCACCAAGGAGCTCAAATGAAGAGTTTGAGTCTTTCAGCTGGCAATTGCTTTCCATATGTGTCCCTCTCTGCTTCACTGGAGATGTTGTATGCAGAGCCCCTGGTCACCCTGCTGTCTGCCAGTGGCCAAGATCCCCAGTGCTGACTTTGCAGCCTTGGAGAGTGGTAGAGAAATGTGTTTAGTCTGTGACTTAAACAGGCTCTCTCTGGGGCTTGGACTGAACCAGAGCATGTTGTCACACATAAATTGACTTTCAGAGCAGTACCAGTGTTGTGCATTGTCCCATGAAAGCCAACATGTGCAGTTAACAATAATGCTCAGCCCTGTAAAGTTCTGAAGTATTTTTGCCATGTACCAAAGGATTTCCATGAGTTAAGACAAATGAGTAGTCACATTTCTTTACAGCATTTTGCATACTTTTAAGCTTCAATGTGTGTTTAACTACCACCTGGATTAGAGTTGCTGACAGCTAGGTCCACAAACATACAGATATGGTCTCTTCTCTGTGGCTCTGGTCTTCACTTTCCCAAACTACTACAATGGTACTACAGTACAACCAATGATATGATTAGGTGGTGAGTGCTTGACATTTTGTTAGGAAAACTGAGTCTGGTAATTTGTCTTTCATTGCTGTTGCTCTGATTCTAACACTGATCTTGACATACGACATTAAAGCAATCTTGAAGGCTCTATATCTGTTTAGGGATTTCATGTATTTGTGCTTTGAAAATATTTTATCTGGATTAAATCCCAAATAAAGAGGTATTCTACAGTATATTATTTAAAGACAAGGGAAATTGAGTTTTCCTTTGAAAGCCATTTTACTATGTTCTGCAAGTAAATACTGTGCTGTGAAGATAAACAAAGAAGAGTGTTCCACAGTACAGATTTCTGATAAGGCACCTGCCAGAGGTGACATTGTAGTTTTGAGTCTGCACAAGGCTTTAATCTGAGCTTTGATAATTGGCAGAATTTGTTGTGGTTTGTCCCTCTTATGACAGACACATAGAGACATCAACTTGTTATAAGGTAAAGTAATGAATCTCATCCAGTTTGCAATCAGGAAGTTTGCAATCTCTCTCTTCCCAAACTTTTTCACTTCTTATCAACAACCAACAGCTTCTCCCTTTTTTCCTGATTGTCCACAGGGGAAGAAGATGGCAATTTGCACTGACAATATCACAGATGTTACTCTGAAGGACATGGTTGCAGAATCAGAAGATTTTTCCAATTTTGTGGGAGCTTTTGTCTGTCAGTCCACCATCATCCCGTCAGACAGCAAGGGCTTCCGAACAGCCCTGGCTCTGCAGTCCAACAGCCTTGCTGACAGGTTCTTAGGTACATGGTTTGTCTTCTCCTTCTTGTTGTTGTGAATGTACTCTCATGTATTTGGAGCTGCAGACTAAATCCTTCTTGGCTCAGCAGCTGCATTACTTTGAGGGAAGAGTGGAGGGGCAGCCCAGGATCAGACTGAGATGGTTCCTGAGCTGTGAAGCAGCTCTGCACAGATACCTTTGTGTTTTGCTGATGTTTCAGTTCAGCTGGTGGCTGGAGGGGAAGAGTAAGGGCTGTGCACATTTTTAGTTTCCTATTTCTGTGTTATTCTCTACCTTGTCCTTGGTCTGGTGGCTCTCACGGTGCATGGCATTTCAGCACAAAAATCTGGAGAGTGTAATTAAAAAGCACTGGTTTTCTTTTATGTTCTGTACCCACCTCACTCAGGGCAAGGCCAATGACTGTGATAGTCACGTTAGTCCAAGTGTTTCTGCCTGTGCCAAGGTCTCACTTGGGCAATTTTAGAAGAAGAAACTGATGTGAGAACATAATTAGGCAAGGAATCAAGAGGCTTAGGGCAGCACGTGGCTGTGCACATCATTAAGTTTTACATTGGTCCAGTTCACAAGTTCCCAGAATCTGAGGCCAGATGAGACAATGAAGTCATTTGGTCTGCTCACCTCTCCATTACAGGCACGGAGTGTTTGTACTTTCTCCGTGGCACTGAGCCCAGAAACTTATGTTTGACAAAAGCACATCTTTGGAAGAGCATTCAACCTGGACTTTTAAGGCTGCCAGAAATAACAACTTTGCCACAGTCACTGGTATTTTTTTTTCCACTGGTCAAACACCATCTCTGTGTTTGTTTTTAAAGCAGGCTTGTATCCTATTTGAATTTCCCTGACTTCGGTTTTCAGCTCTTGCTTTTTTTCCGTCTTTCTCCAGATCACACCAACATTTCCCTTCTTGAAGAAATATTTTGTGTATTGGAATCATTGCACCCTTCTGATAAATTGACTAAGTTCTTCTAATTGTCTTGCTGTCATGTATTTATTTTGAGCACCTGAATAACTTTTGAGGCTCTTTCTATACCTTCTATAATTTTTTATATCTTAAAGTATAGAATGGAATAGTATTCCAGTATTTAATTTGCTTTAATGGCAGAAAAAATCACTTTTGTATTTGGAATCCCTGTGTCCTTTCTCTAGACTTAAGGGATTTCATGATGGCTTCTTGGATCTGATGTCCACTCTGGATATTTTCTCGACGTTACTGTTTCTGAGGGAAAATCTCTCTTTCTTAAGACTGGCCTTCAATTCTTGCTGTGCTTGTCTTATATTGAGTTTCTTTGGGACCATCTTACCAAGTGAATAATGAAACCAAGTTGCTCTGTATTTTATTTTTAATCATCATAATCTTTGTCTCATCTACATACACACTTTACCAGCATGGATTATACAGTTACTTGCAGATCCCTGATGTTAATCTTGCATTTTCACACTTCAGTATCGATGCCTAGAGAAGCCTGAAGACATCCCATGTTTGATGACAATTTCTCATGGCCAGATAATTTTATAATGACTTAGCTAAATAGTTTTTAATGCAGAGTGTGCTCTTAATTGATAGTACACTGCTAACTTTTTAATTTGAATCCCATGTGGTTATTAGTGAAATACTTGATAAATTTACATAACTTTCTTTAGCAACCAAGTACATCAGCACTCAAGGAATGAGATCAGATATGTTCAACAAGAGAAATTCTCCATCAATTTTTGTTGACTTTCTCTCATTGTGTGTCTGTCCATGATCTGAAACCCATTTTCTATCACCATTATTTTGTCTCATTGTGAGAGCCACATTGTAATTCAGGTCATGATATCCCCTCTCCATGAGTCTTTTGATAATCCACTGTCATCAAAAGCTCTGTTAAAGGTCACTCTTAGCTATGAGTTTCTACCTCACAAACGTTCGTGCCAGTAAATGCCATTATTGTCTCCTGCCACTGGAAGAATGAGGGCGGTCATTGTCTTGAAAAGCAAGGAGACAGTCCTGATTTTTTTCCTAATACAAAGAAAAGATGCCAAGCTCTTCTGGTGCCTTTTTTTAATCTCAGTTGCTAAATTTTAAAATGGTTGAAGTTTGCCTTTCCTAACATAGCAAGGATGTGGACCTGCTGAAGTGAAGTCCAGAGGAGGCCAAAACATGGTGAGAGGGCTGATAACGCCTCAGACAGGCTGAGAGAACTGGGATTGTTCAGCCTGGAGAAGAGAAGGCTTCAAGGAGATTTTAGAGATCTTCCAGTACCTAAAAGGGCTACTAGAGAGCTGGAGAGGAACTTTTTTACAAGGGCATGTAGTGACAGAACAAGGGACAATGGCTTCAAACTTAAAGAGAGTAGATTTAGATTAGATATTCGGAAAAAATTCTCCCCTGTGATGGTGGTGAGACACTGGCACAGGTTGCCCAGAGAAGCTGTGTCTGCCCCATCCCTGGAAGTGTTCAAGAACAGATTGAGAACCTGGTCTAGTGAGACGTGTCCCTGCCCATGGCAGGGGGTTTGGAACAAGATATCTTTAAGGTCTCTTCCAACCCAAACCATTCTATGAGTCTGTGATTCTATGAACTGTTTCAAGAACAAGTGGAAAACTTATTTTCTTCAGTCTTTTCACCAGTTTCTGACCACAGCCGCTTCTTGTTGTTCTAGCAATTTTTAACTCCCTAGAAGGATGCAGCCCCATTTGTACAATTCCATCTTCTGAAATGTTTCAGTGGAGCACCAATATTTTCTGTCTTCTTCCAACCCTCAGTTCACAGGGTTGGAAGGATCCCTAAGAACTTTGCTCACTTGCATTTTCTTCCTTTTCAGCTTTTGCCCAAAATTCATATAATTCATATATCAGACTGTCATTTGTTCCAAAACGTGCCATCAAGGCTTGCCCATGATTCCATAATCCTTCTGAGTCTTGTTATTTCATCTCCCACAGTACTGCAAATTGCTCAGGTCATTACATGGTTTTGATGTGTGAGGGTTATATACTCAAGGCATATGCTCTGAGTGGTTGCAGCAGATATCTTCAGCAGTTCTTTGCCAGCCTAAATTATTTTATGTTTCTTTAATACCCAATGATTGCTTTAAATTAATATAAAAGAGTAATAAATACTTACACTGGTGTTTTATTAATTTTTAAAATTTTACTATGTTAATATGAGGAAATCAGACTGTATGAGGAACATATGTATCTGCAAAGCTTAGTTAGAAAAAGGTGTGTGTGGTGGACAGTAATTGCATTAAATGCTATTGAGATCCACAGCTTTCAGACTGAGAAAATATTACACATGGACCCCTCAAAAACACATTCATAGTTTGCTCCTTTTTTTTTTTTCTTTCTCACATTTTAGGAGCTACTATTGAAACAACGCTGGAAGGTATCAGCATCAAGGCAGATATGTTTCCTCCCTCTCCAAGCAAAATATCAGATGTGCATTTCTTTTACAAGTAGGTAAAAAAATGCTGCTTATTGCTGTATCAGATGTCTTCATTTGTTTAAAGGAAAGTAAAACTGTGAGGGAGAATCTATAACCCACCTTTTTTCTTTGCCACTTTAATCAGTGTCTGCCTGATATTGATTGACATGTTGAAGATTATCTTATAAAATCAGCAAACACTCTTTACTCAAATCTAAATTAGACATGATCTGTAGGAATTGATACCAGAGCTTTGATTGATCCAGATGCCACTTTCAGTGTCATGTTACTTTCCATATTTTTTCATATATGACTTTGAAATGTCCACTTCTGGTTGCATATTTTCTTTCACTTTCATTTGTGTTTACTTTGATGATACAAAAAAGAAATAATCAAGATTAAAATTAATTGTTTCAACATGCACAGTTACTAGTATGCTTTTCCCATTCTTCACTCTTCTCCGTAAAATAATGCCTCAGTTTGGGTAGGAAGTAGCTCAAAGATCTCAAAGATCAGCTCAGTTCAGATTTCTGAATGCTGGACTTCATGTCAGCTTTGTTTCTAAGCTGGGATTTAATACAGGACTGTGGATATCAGCACTTTATGCTTATGTGAATACTTAAATGATGTGTCTGATTCAGCAAACTGAATCCCACACCAGTGACCCTACTTTAAGCATATTACGAACTTGGCTTACAATGTGTGTCATGCTGGAATAAGTTTTTTTGATCCCCTTTGCCCTGTGCTATTTCAGGACAGTTTGGTTCTCAGGTTGCTTGGCTGGGGCTGAGCATCAGAACCTCTCCAGCAGAGTAACACCAACCACAGCCTCTGTGATTCTCCTTTTCAATCATTCAATCCTGTTTTTGTGGGAAAGTTCACTCCTTGACACAGCAGATTCCAAACTAGCTAGAAAACCAGAGCAGTTCCCTGAATAGCATCTCAGAGCACTTTGAGATTTAGATGAATTGGTGAGGCCTACCCTGATTCTGTTGCTCTTTTTTTTTTTTTTGTTCTTTTTTTTCACCTGGCAAAGTCAAAAGCACTATGGCAAAGGGTATTTTGTTAGTATTGCAGCTGCATGAGTGTTTACAGACATGTAATATAAAAATATATTGCACTATATAAATAGAACGTAATAAAATCAATATCCATTTAATATAGTGGAAATATGTTACTTTTCTCCTCTTGTTTGACATTAGGTCTTCAACAGTGACAACTTCCTGTGAGAATGGCCGTGCTACTGTTGTGACAATGAGATGCAACCCCAACAAACCAGACCAAGGAGAGCTTTCTGTGCCCAGGTATTTCAGTCTTTGTGTCCTACTAGTGCCAAAAAGCCTTTGCTCCTCAGGTAATCTTTACAAAACTCATTAGTAATTTTATATTATAATATAATAGCAATGAGGGGTGCTCTCTCCCTCATCAGTCACTTGTTTCTCCAAGGTGTCCATGAGCTTCCAGCAGACCAGCTGGTCTGTGTTCAGGCTGTTCCGAACTTAATCACAAAAGAAAACGCAGTGGTGTTTTCTTGTCTTCACTTCTCTTTATTTCAGTTCCTTATTTTAATCTTTGGCCTCCTGATTAAAACTGCCTAGCTGAGGCTTTGAAAGGTAGTTTTTCTTCCTTCATCTACAGCAGTGGCTAGGGAAAATTATTGTTTTCTGAAAAGAGCAACCTGTTCTAGGAGCTTTAAAATCTGCTATTGCAACGCTTATGTGAGCCCTGACTGTGTATTTTATGTTTGGAATATATTTATGTGTTTCATCTCTGTATCCTAGCTACCTTGTACCAGTTGTGTTTAATTTGCCTGACTTTTTTTCCCTTCAGTCTGATTTGAGGGACTTGAAAAAGCTTCTTCCTTCCAAAATCCTGTTTATGCCTGCATAAACATAACTTAAGGCATAAGCATGATTGAAAAATTGCAGAGAAAAAAACAGTAAAAGAATCAATTCTATTCCACTTTAGCAACACACTGTGATTTTTCAGAAGCTTTCTTCAACTCTGATTCAACTTCAACCCTCCTCTTTGGTTATCAAGGCCCATTTTAGTCTGTCTGGATGTTATTACAAATCTGTTGATAGCTCTCACTCATCCTCCTTCCCAAAAGCTGAGCCCCCTTCCCAAAAGTTAACAGTGTGAGAAGTTGGGATCCTTTGATCCCTGTCCCTCTTGGGACACATGAACTGTGCTTGCCTGAATGAAGGCAGAGTGGAGTCTACTTCACAGGTGATGGGTGAGTGATTGATATTTGAACACCTTTGGAGATGCTTACCCCACTTTCTGAGTGACCTGTCCCACTACAAATTGTGCTGGGCAATAAGTCACTATCAGCTTCTGTGTGAAAATTCTTTAGTTGTTCTTCCAGTGCCACAGGGTAAACATGATGTGATAAATAGGATGTGAACTGTGATAAAGCACCAGTAGGGAGGGAGGAACAACCTACCTGAGTTTTGAGAGTGTGAGCATGAGCAGAAATGGCACACAGCTGACACATGTACCTTATCTCAGTTTGTGTTGACTTCTCCTTTCCTATCCCCCTTTGATTAGCTCAGCAGTCAGCTGTTTTCACACAGTGAGGTATCAGATATATGTCAAATAATCTAACTCCTTGATCCTCCAGGCATGGTGTTTAGTATCACATGAAGCTTCAGTATAAGATGAAAGCAGTTGAGGAGAAAGGTCTGTCAGTGCTCCTGCCATGTAGGTTGGGAAAATGCCCCATAATTCACAGAGGAATGTACCTGTTGTCAGGTATTCAGATCTGAATAAGCCAGAATGGGCTTTTAGGGCTAGGGATTTTTCAGTGCTTCTGATCAGGATATCAGGTTTCCAGACGACATAGAAAAGCACAACCTAAAATCCATTTTTTTAATGCATGAATATATTTCATATTTACATGACCAAACTTCTTGCATGGCCTTTGGCCATTGCTGATGTTGGACCTGATGTGATTGTCAGTAACAAAATCTATGTGACTGTCCTGCTACTGCCAGTACAACTTTCTTCTGCAGGCTGAATACAAAATAGGCCATTAGTTTTTCTTGGAGTAAGAGAAGCTGTTATCTCTTCATTAACTGGTGAACATCCTTCTAGTAATTAACCATGACAGGACAAGTCCATTCCATATGGACTAAATTAGACAGACATCATTAGAACAATGGCAGGAACCAGATAGCAGCATTCACGTGAAACAGCCACCCTGTGCAGGAGAACAGTGATGGAGGTGTATGCTGGGCTAGTCTGGGCTGGTGAAACACTGGGGTAGTCCTCCTCTCCTCTCCTCTCCTCTCCTCTCCTCTCCTCTCCTCTCCTC